GTTATCTGTGCTCGACTCAAAAAAAATGTTGAATTTTTATTTATTCTGAAAGTGACAGGAAGTTGTAGCATGAATCACTGAATAAATAAAACATCTGAAAACCAGTACCCCGCCTACCATCTGTTCTCACAGCCAATCAGAAAGCAGGACAACAAGTGTATGAATTAAGTTCTTCTTTAAAAGGACAAAACTTTATTGTTCCTGACATGACACGATCAGTCAGACAGCAGGTCATAATCATAAAAAAACAAATAAACTACTTCCATCTGGACGATGGCGTCTTGGGTTCGTCCGACTCAATGATGTCATCAACCAAACCCCCTGTAGCTATGCTAACAGTAAAGCAACACGGCTGCGATTGTCCACACACACACACACACACACATACATACAGTGTTGGACTGCAAAGTAAAATATTCAGAAATGTGATTTTCTCTCGTGAAATGTAACGACTGTGAAACAACAGGAAAGAAACTTGTTCAGTGTTTACATCTTTTTTCTGATTGGCTTTGTTTATATTTTTCCACTATGTCGTGTGCGACAGAAACTTCACGAACAACAAAAGATGCGGCTTGACTCTCTGACTTATCTCAAACTAATAAATAATTAATGATGAACAGTTTGTACCAAAAGTTCTCACAAGGACAAAATAAAGATCGTTAGGTTGTAATTTAAAGATGTTTCTTAAAACACAAAATAAACATCTCAAAAATATGAATTCTCTGGTTTGTCATACTTAATCAGATTTGGTGTTGCAAATTTTTTTTATACAAATTTTATGTCAAATCATTTTTTGACTGAAGTTTTCAGTTTTTTTCTTTTTGACAATCTCAACAGATCAATGATCAGATGTGATTTTATTGGTTAATTTTAATATCAAGTGTTTTTCTTCTAATTTTGAAAATGAATAATCTTATTATTTCTTTTGTTGGATTCAATCCCTAACGAATCGTGGAGAGAAGAACCTCCAAAGTCCAGAACCAGAACTTTTTTGGTTCCAAAACTGAATTTGTTGTAAACGAGGAGAAAAAGCTGCGAATGTTTCTGCGAGTTTACACTTTGAGCCTCATGTTTCTTTTTTTTGCCGGAGAATCATGTTAAATTTTTTGCAATTTATTTATCCGCAAAGCAAATTTCGGCAACAAATAACAATAAAAAACTGCCACCTGCTGGACATGAACTACAAAATTTTGAATTAATAATCAGTTTTATTTTAATTTGAAAATCATCCGTTTGAATTAAACTTAATAGTTTTTTCAAGTGTAATTCTTTTAATGGTTGAATTTCAAAGTAAAATATTGTAATACTATAAATTCATTTTCAGTCATAACATTTTTTTTGGCCGTTATTTGCTTCCATAAAAAAACTTTGAACATGAAAATTTAAGCAAAGAAAAATCAACCAATGAGGAGAGGATTTTACCCCCCCCCCCCATTGGCTGATTTTTTTTTCTTCCTCTTGTCCAATCACAGATTAGACGATTCAGTGCGATGCGTCACTCCCTCTCATTTTTTATTTTTTTCATTTTTTCTTTCTTCCTTCCAGTGCATTGGCTCGTTCTGGCATCATTTAGTTTTAGCACCAAAGGAACATAAATAGTTAAAAACACACAAACTTTCCTTAAAAAACAAAAAAACAAATCAGTCTCTTTGATGAGGACGAAGCTGAAGGCTCAGCCGGTCGTCATGGCAACTACACATCGAGGATCTCTTCAGCTGTGCCGCCACAGCGGAGCCGGTATCGACCGGTTCTCCAGCTGATGGTCGGGTCCCACAGAGCTGACAAGAAGATCTGCACTGCCATCGACTCTCTGATGAACCACGCCACCGCAAAGTCCAGCTTCGAGAAGCAGAGAGCGCCGCCCTGCAGGATGTGTGAACAGTGACAATTAAACCTGAGACTTAAAAACGTTTACATTTTCATTTCATTTCTTTAAGTTTTTTTTACGTCTGTTTATTT